CCACGGGGCGGAGGCAGCTGGGGGTGGGGAATATGGCTGCCACCAGTGGGGCCTTGGCTGCCCCATGCCTCGCTTTCTCTGTTTGGGTCCCCAGCAGGGGGGAAAGGAGAGGTTTGGTCCTTCGCTCGCACCCAAAAGGGAGGGGAAAGCCCGCATGGTGGGACTGCAGTCCCTAGCTCTGGTTTAGCAGGTATAGCTGGAGGGGAAGGCTCGTGTCAGTCACAGGGTAACTCCTGGGGCCTCTGGGCCATGAAAACAAGCATCAGTAAATAGCAGCTCAGGTTGGCACAAAGGCAGGTACAATACTTCATGATTTCAACAGAAATTTTATATTTATTTGGCTAAATATTTTATTAAATATTTTACTTCAGGTAAAAAATGATTTCTGGTTTTCTGCCTATTTTCACTCTCCTCTCACCTCCTGTCCAAAAGGCCACTTTCTTGAATTATAAGTACCATGGTCTGTGGTGGACTTGCTTTAAACAGCAGGTGACTACGAGGGGAGCTTGTTGAGCAGGCAGGGCCGGAGGTATCAAGCAGAGCAGAAACAAAGCCACAGCCTTCACAGTGCACCAAAGCATCCCCCATGCAAAACTCAGTGCTGGCGGGTTCCCACCAGAGTGCTGTTTTCCAGGAAATATTTTTCCAATTCATAATAAACCAAGGCTTCCATTTTTAGAACTGCACGCATGCAAAAGCCTCTTTATTGAGACATATGGGCCTAATTATAATGCAAGGCTGCTTTAACCAGTTTAAGTACAGCCCTGGCAGCACAAATTTCAGCAAGACGCAGGATGGCAAATGTGTAGATCTAACGTGAATAGTTTTCTTTGAAAGCATCCAAACCTGGAGTTCAAAGCCATTTTTCTGAATCTTTTTATACTGCTTCACAGTTCCTCAGTGGGCCATGTCCATCAAATGGGAATGGCAAAGATCCATGTTACATGTTTAACAGGCTTTTGGTTTAAGGGTTGCAAGAGCATTTTAATGTTCTAAATTATTTATAGAAACCAGAGGTTCTTCATGTAAAGAATATTGTCGGAGGCAACTTACAATATCCTTGCAGCGGGTATTTCAGGCTCCCTAAGACATGGGCAGATGATCTCTAGTTCTTCTTGATAGTTTAAGTAAACTACACTCACTATATAACTATTTATCACTTTGCTGGGGTTTTCCCACATTTCAGCAAGAGTAAACAGGTTCCCTTCGTGGAGCAACTAAGTGCACAGTGCAACACATTAACATAACCTCATCCTCAACAGCTGAGGCTCAGGCACTTGTTTCACAAATTTGCCATAGGAGTGGCAGCCTCAACCAGAGGGGACAAGTACACAGGAATTTCCTAAAACCACCTCAGCGAGATTTGCCAGTGTTTGTTTGGCTGAATCACCGTTCGGAGCTCAAAGAGTAAAGGCAGAAATTCAGAAGATGTATCTCAAGGAGAAATAATATGATTTCTTTTCTCAACAGAGTTTCCAAACAGTAGTTTTACATTATCACTTTTTATACTCAAGTATTGGATTTTCTATTTATTTATTCGGGGAGAGTATTCCTTAGATATTCACTAGAAATAAACATTGACTGTACACTTCAGCTAGCTCTCATTTGCAAACGGGAGGACCGCACTCTGCAAATCTTTTTGAAAATGGAGGTTGACAGGAGGGACTGGCTCCCGTTCCCTACCACCCACGTGCTTCATAAGATCCCACAACATTACGTTCATTAGCACCTTGCCTTTTCTCCGTATTTGAATACTTGCTTGCATTTAAGCTTCTCATGTGAAACAAGCACAAGGAAGGAAATAATATAATTAACAGCAAAGCAATCTAATTTAAACACAGTTTTGCCACACTCCATACAACTATTTAGTATTTAATCAGAAGGACTACTGTGATTAGGAATGAAAGGTCTATGTGAATGACTCACCGTGAACAAATTAAAGATTAAAACACATGGTTGAATAAGGAAGCGGCTGGCTGCAAATCCTCTGTATGAATTGAATTCTGCTACTCAGGTTATTTCAAATTTTTGGAGGCTGTCTCGTTTCATCA